ATATATATATATATATCTGCAGTAACTGAAGATTCTCAGTAATAGTCTTTGAGTGGAAAATAATCAAAAGAAATAAGAAATTCTATCTTAGGTTGGCTGGATTTTCTAAGCTTGACTCAGAATTGGATATGTAGTACAATCATTGCATGATTTGACAGCTACAGTTTCAAACTGAGTGACTAGGGAAGTATTCACTAGATTGGGATTTGTCAAAGTGTGACCCGAGGACTACCTCTGACAGTCCCGGGTTTTTGGGACCCCCGCAGAGCCACTGTCACCAACTTCCTGGAGGTAGAGCCTGAGAATCTGAGTCAAAGCTACCCAGGTGGTTTTATGACTCTTATTGCACGATGCAGAGGGCTAATACTAGAAACATTCCAGATTTGTTTCTTTGGGACATAGGGTTGGGGTTGCAGTTGGGGGTAGTGAGCTTGCATGGAATGTCATGGGATACCAAAACCAGTTTTACAAGATAGAACTCTAAAATCTTATGAGTGCAACATTTGTTTCCCTCACTGGACTCCTTATTTCACGAGTCGCACTCACTTGTCCTCTGATATGGTCACCCACAAGTCTAGGTTCTGCAGGTGAAGCCCACTGTGGAGGTACAACAGTGAAGGATCAGCTGTTTCTGTCTCAGCTGGCCCAGGGTAGGCCATCTGAATGGCTGGAACAGTTCCTCAGCTGCTGTCAGGGCTGCTTTTCATCCTGAGCTGAGCCAGCAGGCAGTCTTATCTGACTGATGACAACACACCCCACACCTGTAATGCCTCAGGTGGATTTAACCTTTCTTTAATGTTCAGGAACCCACCCACCTCTCTGGCTGGACCTTGAAATTCAATTTGCCAAACCTTTTGAAAACATGCCAAAGCCCAGCAGGGGTTATGAAGACAGCAGTGACTGAGATGACTGAAAGTAGCTAGGCTAAAAGTTTTGTTTGGTCAACACTGATTTCAAACAGTTTTGAGTCTGACTTTTTTAGATACTGCAGGCTGCCATGACCCTTCCTGTGGTCCCTCCCAGTGTCTTAACTTCCGGCCTTCCTCCCTCACTGATGTTGACATTTGAGATTTTGTCCTCTGATCCTAGCCAGGGAATTCTCCTCGATCAGGCTTCCTCTCCAGATCTCTCGGAACCACAGTAGGGCGGGGTTCATCAGCATCCTGCCTCTATGATGACAGCACCACATCTGTGACATGGACTGGTTAGGATATTGGAGTTGCTCCTTTAAAATCCAAATTCAGATGAGGTCTACCCATAAAGAGAGTATAATTCAATCATAAAAAGAATGACATACAGATGCACGCTATAACATAAATAACCTGGAAAACATGCTAGTAAAGGCGTCAGTTGCAAAAGAACACATTGCATGAATCCATCCACATGAATTTACATGAAATACTCAAATAGGTAAATCTATAGATAAAAAGCAGCTGGTGATTACTGGACACGAAGGGAAGGGAGAGTGAAGGAGAGCAATTGCTTAATTCATTTGGGGTAATGAAAACGTTTTGGAACTTGATAGAGGTGGTGGTTGTATAACACTGTGAATACACTAAATGATACCAAGCTGTATGCTTTAAAATGGTTAATTTTATGTTAGGTGAATTTTATCTCAATAAAAAAGAAAATTCCTGCCCACGCCCATCAGCAGATGGGCTGCTTTTTCACACTAGAGGGTACTCTGTTCTTCCTGTCACTAAGGTCCAGACCCCGCAGGAAGGAGCCAAGTAAGCTCTTCTGTTGAGTTGTTGTGTAGTAGCAATGCCATTGTTAAAGTCGTGC